CAGAGGTGCCCACTGTCTGTGGCAGAGAGGAGGGAGCAATTAATTACTGGGTGATATGTTATTTCTAGATTCAGACTCAGAAGAAAGGATTTGCCTGTCTGCTAAAAATAGTGATACAGCCATGTATTCATTGCATCTGGTGGGTTATTAGGGAGAATACAAGCAAAGACAATACTGTAAATATCAAAGCCTACCTACAGGACCAGGAAGAAAGCGGTAGCGGAGTGGATCTGAGGAACATAGTCCCTCCAGCGGAGTTCTATGTTCACACACAGAGACCTGTCAGGGGAGTGCTGCTCCCAAGAGGAAGTGGGGAAGGAGAAGTTGAGAGATACCAGGGGAGCCAGTCTTTGCCTGGAGTTGTAGGTAATAAATTGTGTGGGAAATGCCAATTTTCAGAATTCCTCCTTTCTGTGTGATTCAGTGTGAGTGAGACAGAATCGTTGTCGGCGACTATAAAATCCATCTCAGAGACTCAAAAATCATTAGCGTCCAATAATACTGATTAGTTTTGTGTTAAATCTGAGTCTTGTGGGTTCTATAACTCTCTCCTTTGGCAGAAAATTCAATAATTTATTATCACTGAAGGTAAAAGTAGTCTTAGAAATATTTAGCTCAGTTTCTCTCCGGTTCCCTTTCACTCCATAAAGAGCTAGTCATGTCCCATAATTCCCTGCTGCAGAGGTAATTAAGTTTCGTGTCTCTGCATTTGCAACTTGACTAGGAGGATTTCACTAGAGGTCTGCAAGGAATTCTCATTATTTTCAGTCTTCACTTTATGGGTGCAATCTATGTTTAAAAATTACAAAATGGAGACTCATAGGCCAGTAATGTTGTAATTTGGTAATAAATTTTTACTAGCTTACTCATTTTAATGAAAACAAGACTGGCAAAATTGATATCTGACAATTGTTTTTAAAAAATCTGTTTCCTGAAAGTTTTCAACTTAAAAAAAATTAGCTGTGCTAATTTTAAGACGTGAGCCTTATATTTGAGCATCTGCTTTCTGAAAGAATGGACTATGTACTTGTCCAGCAGCGAGAAATCCCATGATGCCAGGAAACCCACTTGGGAAGGTTCATGGACAGCAGAAGCAGGAAGTTCCTCTCCGGTTCTGGTGGCACAGGCTGGTAGGATTTGCTGAAGGAGGCAGAGGCAGGAGGAAATTGCATTTTTAATGGGCTTGGAATACAAAGAGAATCTGAGCTCATTGGTTTAAGAGACTAGTCCAACTTGGACAAACACTTTGAGTTTACTTAAATGTAGAATATTTTAAAACCATTTATTCCATTATGTATTCATGTGTGCATGTATGTGGGTTTGTGCACATGTATGCAGAGGACGGTGGAGTCTGGAAGAGAGTCTTGGGTCTGCAAGGATGGGCTATAGTGAGCTGCCTGACATGGGAGCTGGGTATTGTCCTTAGGTCTGCTGGAAGATCAGTACATGCTCTTAACTGAGGAACCATCTACCCAGCCCCGGATGCAGAGGGTTTTTGTTTGTTTGTTCGTTTTTGTTTTTTATTTATTTTTTTAAATTTATTTATTTATTTATTTATTTACTTATTTATTTAAGATTTCTGTCTCTTCCCCACCGCTGCCTCCCCTTTCCCCCCCCCCCCCAATCAAGTCCCCCTCCCTCGTCAGCCCAAAGAGCAATCAGGGTTCCCTGCCCTGTGGGAAGTCCAAGGACCACCCACCTCCATCCAGTTCTAGTAAGGTGAGCATCCAAACTGCCTAGGCTCCCACAAAACCAATAGGTGCAGTAAGATCAAAAACCCATTGCCTAAGAAGGAGAAGAGTCGTTTTTGTTTTTTAAAGGATAGGTACGAGAAGATATCTGATGGCGTGGGTTTAGATTGACAGCCTGCACCCAGCCTAACCCAGGTGGGCTCCAGATTGCAGATTTCCCTTTGTTCGTGAACTTTGAAATCAGGGGCAATGTTTGTGACAACAGCATATTGGCAAAGCAGCTGTTAAATCGGACAGAGCTAATGGCTCGTTTTAAATGTGCTGTAAATGGTGATAAATATTGCTATAGAGACCAGACCTTGGGCTTCTGTCACAGTCCCTTAGTTAGAGTCTTTCCTCGGGTCCCACACCATCCCCTACCTTGTCCTGTTAATACTTTAGATCGCCTTATTCTCTATTGGACTCCCAATGAAAGGAAATCCAGCTACAGCCTGGCTAAGTCAGATTGTCTCTTAAGATTTAGATTTGATTCCCTCCCCTCTCCTCCCTCTCCTCCTTCCCCTCTTCTCCCCTCCCCTCCCTTCCTCTCCTCTCCTCCTCTCTCTTCTTCTCTCCTCTCCCCTCTCCTCCTCTTCTTTCCTCCTCTCTTCTCTCCTCTCTCCTTCCTTCCTTTCTCTCCCCCCCCCTTTTTAGAGACAGTCTTCCTAAGTATCCCCAGTCTGCCCAGACTGGCCTTGAACTCACAGCAATCCTCCTGCTGTAGCCTATTTAATGCTGTTTACATGTACTACAGCCCTTCTCCTCTTCCCTTCCTTCTTTCATTCCTTGCTCCCACCTTTTTGGGGGATGAAACCCAGTGTCTCAAGAATGCCAGGCGAGCACCCTACCACCGACCGGCTCCCCTCTGCACCTCTTAAGCTAAGAACAGAAGGACTTGATGAGGATTGCTGCCGGTACTGAACGGAGAGGTTCCGAAGGATGGAAGCGGAAGAAAGACATAACATCCCAAGATGACGGCTGTGTTAAGTAGGCATGTTCACTGCCAGGATGAGATACTTGGCACAAACAGCTTAAGGAAGGGAAGGTTCATTTTGGACTCATGTGTAGTAAAAGGAGCGCGGGCCGCTTCCCACCACCCGAGAGGAGCATGGGCCCTTTGTTCTGTTCTGCCCAGCTCCCAGCCCCGTCTAGCTTATACCCCAAAATAACAACACACAAATTGTATTCATTTAAACACTGCCTGGCCCATTATTTCTAGCCTCATATTGGCTAACTCTCACATCTTAATTAGCCCATTTCTATTAATGTGTATCGCCACTTGACTGTGGCTTCCCGGCATGAGTCTAACCAGCGTCCGTCTTGGAGAGGAGAGCCATGGCATCTGCCACATTGCCTTCTTCCTCCAAGAATTCTGTACTGTCTACTCCACCCACCTAAGGGCTGGCCTATCAGAAGGCCAAGGCAGCTTCTTTATTTAACCAATGAAAGTAACACATAGACAGAAGACCCTCCTACACCACCCAGGGTTTCAGAGGTGTCAGCCCATCATGCTGAGGCTGAGGGCGGGGTGTCAAAATGAAGTAGAGCGGCTCACAACATAGAGGAGAGGGAGCAAGGATCTACTGATGCAGAGAGACAGAAACTGAGAGAAAGGGGGGGTTGGACACACACACACACACACACACACACAGAGAGAGAGAGAGAGAGAGAGAGGGGGGGGGGGACACACACACACACACACACACACACAGAGAGAGAGAGAGAGAGAGAGAGAGAGAGAGAGAGAGAGAGAGAGAGATTGTGAGCTGTGCTTGCTCCTGCTGCTCCCTGCTAAGCCATCTTCCACTCAGGCAAGTCTTTACCTCTTAGCAGAACCTTGCAGACACCCCTGCATTTCTAACCTCCCAGGACTTTCTCAATCCAATCAAGGTGACAGGCAAGATCAGCAGCTGCAGCCAGAGTCAGGACAGCAAGAGGAAGCAGGGAAAGTTAGAAGCAGTGAGGAGGCAGAAATGGGGCTGATCTTTGACCCTGTTTAAAGACCTGCCTCTCGGGCGATGGTGGCGCACGCCTTTAATCCCAGCACTCGGGAGGCAGAGGCAGGTGGATCTCTGTGAGTTCGAGACCAGCCTGGTCTACAGAGCTAGTTCCAGGACAGGCTCCAAAGCCACAGAGAAACCCTGTCTCGAAAAACCAAAAAAAAAAAAAAAAAAAAAAAAAAAAAGACCTGCCTCACTTCAGCTGCTCTCAGGAAAGACCTGGCATCTTGGTCTCTGACTACTTTTCCAGTTTTGAGGGGTTTCACGGGCATTTGCTTGGCACCCTGGATTTTGGTGGGTCTCTCCATGTTCTCTTAAATGTTCATGCTGTGTGCTCGCCTGGAATGGAGCTCTTTCTATGACTCACGGCTACAACAGTCTGGTCAAGATGGAAGTGGGGTCAATAGCGCTCCGGCTTCCTTCGTAAAATCATACTGTTTCAAACAGACCCATGGCATTAGTAACAGCTATTTGGAGCAGATGAATATGAGGGCAGGGTTGGCAAAACACAAAAAGGAAATGCTTTTGGAAGAGATTCACCCAAATGACTGACCAAAAGAAACCCAGACTCCTCCTTCTGTCCAGAAGTGCTGCGGTTCAGTCTGTCATTTCTATGAGCTGTGGCTTGGTCAGGGGAGGAAGACAGTAGCTCAGGAAATGGCTGGAGAAGAAGCTAGACAGGGCTACTTACACGTGGTCTCACCTGGCACTGGCTAGATCTGCCATAGCTCAGGGAGAGCATTGGAACAGACCTCAGCTGTTAGGAATGATGGAAAGTGGCTGAGGGGCCATAGCTGCAAAGGCAGACGGCACAGGCTCCAGAGTGAGTGTGGGACTCGTGGAGGAGTGCACTGGCAAGGGAGGGGAGGTAGGGAGGAGTCTCAGGTCCAAGGGCTGAATGATTCTGTGGGGTGCAGGAGGGATCCCCTCCCCTGAGCTGCTGGGCGGGGAAGATGCACAGAGATGAAAGCTCCTAGAAGGCAAGGCACACACATGCGTGAAGATTGTTGTAAAATAGAGGCTGGAGAAGGGAGAATTGGTTATACCTCCTGGAACAGGAAAGGTGCGATTAGAACCTGTGGGTACAAGGAGTGGTTTGGGGTCAAGGTTGGCCCAGTCCTTGCCCTGGATGATAAACACAAAGCTGGGCTCGCCTTGAGGGTGAGGGAACCGAAATGGTTTCCAGGCTTTAAGAGGGCAGAAACTTTTCTTTTCTTGATTTTTTTAAAAATTTTTTTATCCTTTCCCCACTGGAAATTGTAAACAAAAGCACAGCGATAAAAGCAAGAGAGCAGCTTTGTTCTGAGTGAAGTCGAAAGAGAGATGAGGATGTACGTCTCTGCTTCCATTCTTACCATGCTCCCTGAGACCAGTCCACAGCACTGAACTAGGCATCTGGGTGGAAAGCCAAAGAGGAAGGAAGTCATGAACCTGAGAGGAAGGAAGTCATGAACCTGAGAGGAAGGAAGTCATGAGCCGGAGAGGAAGGAAATAGGAAGTCGTGGACTCTGGATGGCGGATGATGAGAAGCTCATTGCGAGGTGAACTGACCCGAGGAAGGGACAAGGAAAAGAGTCAGACGTGAGATGCTAGGCAGTGAATCTCAACCTGTGGGTAGAGATCTCTTGGTGGGGGCTAAACAATCCTTTCCCTGGGGCCACTAAATACCATCTGCACATCAGATATTTGTATTACGATCCATAACAGTAGCAAAACTACAGTTATGAAGTAGCAATGAAAATCATTTTATGGTTGGGGGTCACCGCAACAGGAGGAACCGCATTAAAGGATCTCAGCATTAGGAAGGTTGAGAACCACTGTCCTAAGGGATAGGAGCAAAACCTGGGAATGAGACAACCAGGATCTTGCCTCCTGGGTCTTAGTGAGCCCAGGCCACCATGCCTTTCTGTTGGCCCTCAGGTTTGATCTCCAGCCCTGGAACATCTTTGGAACAGTGAGTGTGGACTTTCCAGCGTAATCCATAGGTGCCAGCTTCGCGGCGGCCGTGTAGGATATTCACAGGTGAGCCGCACAGGGTCTTGTTCTCGTCTGACTCAGGGGCGTTCTTTCTTGATGAGCACCTGTCCTGCCCCGTCCTGACCTAAGTCACCTTCTACGGGTTTCTGACATTTGCGATTTCTTGCTTAGGAAGACAGTGTGCCTCCCGAGGGGCTGCATTAAACTGAACTGACTGTCAGACATCAAAGAGCGACAACAAGAAAGAAGGCGGACGGTGTTCATCTCCCCGGTTCTTTGTGCGCAGGTGCAGCTTTGTTCTCAGGCTGCAAATTAAGTCTCTGCTGGTTTGGTACGGTCAACCCAGTTTCCTGTCCTAAAACGCTAAGCAGCTGGAGCTGATTCAGGAGCGTTGAGGCTTCAGCAGCCCCGAGGCTGGCCCGGAAGGAGTCTCCCATTCATCCGCATCCACATTTCTTCTCGAGGCAAGCCAAGCTTATTGAAATACATAACGGCAGCCGCCTTTGCTGTTCGTGGGCGATTCGGTGGATGGGAAAATGACAGTGGACCACAGTGAAGCTGAATGCATGAGTTTCAAATTGCGAGTTCTTACGCAGGCAGATTGTTGTGGTTAAGCACCCATTTGAGGAAACCCCAAATCCTAAAAAGTTGAAGAGAGAGAAAATGTTCTTCTTTGAAGATGGACATTATTTGCTGTTCCAAGATCCAAGGTCTCTTATGAATGAAATGCGGAAAACCCATGAGTTAGACCAAATGACTTTTAGAAACGTATTTACTTTATTTTCAACTAAGTGGACATGTGCAGGTATGTGTGCTGGTGTGTACAGGCACTCGTGGAGGCGAGCTGTGTTGGACCTCTTGGACTTAGAGGTTCAAGTAATTGTGAACTACCTGACCTGGATGTTGGGATCACAACTCAGGCTTCTACAACAGCAGTGCGTGCTTTTAAAAACTGAGCCATCTAGCCTTGTGGAGCAAATGCTTTAAAGTAAACTCTAGAATATAATTATGACTGTATATGTTTGCTCAGGCATACCAGTCAGATAAATCTGAGTCTCTGGGTAGCTTAGCTGTCTCCACCTGTGCTTCTGGTAACTATAGGCCCTGCCTAATCATCATGATCCCCTGTGCCCAGCTCGGTCTCTTTTTTCTTTTCTGTTACAATTTGCCAGAATGCTTTCAATATCGCTGTGCCTGAAAGATGATCAGAACTCTGTGGCCTGGGCTATGTGTCATACATGTTCACATATGTGGAAACCTGAGGTCAACTTCAGGTGTCTCTCTTCACACACCATCAGCCTGGAGACAGCATCTCTCACGGGTCCTGGAAGTCATTGGTATTGCTGGCCAGCTAGCCTTAAGGATCCATCTCTTTTTGCCTTTCAAGTGCTGAGATGGAATATAATTTTATGTTTGGTTTTGGCCATACGGTTTATTAATATAGTTAAGCTCAACTTTAGATTTTTTTTAATATTACAGTTAGACTTCAAGGTTTCTTTGGGCTGTTTGTTTGTTTGTTTTTGTATTTTTGTTTTTTTGAGTCAGGGTTTCTCTGTCACTTTGGAGCCTGTCCTGGAACTAGCTCTTGTAGACCAGGCTGGCCTCAAACTCAGAGATCCACCTGCCTCTGCCACCCGAGTGCTGGGATAAAAGGCGTGTGCCACCACCACCCGGCCGACTTCAAGGTTTCTATTTTGTCTGATTTACCTGGCTTTGATACCATTAACCATAAACTTTTTTTTTTTGATTGAACTCAGGGCCTTGTACCTGCTAGGCAAGCACTCTGCCACTCAGCTACATACCCAGGCCCCGCTGACTGCATAGGGCACAGTCACAGGCCTGGTGAGTCAGGCAGAAGGGTGAGAAGAGCAAGCTCCCATCTCTCGTCAAGAGAAGACTGATACACAAATAGAAAATGGAAAACGGGAAGCCGTGTCTGTGGTTATTTCCTTGGCATCTGTAATATCTACCAGAACATTTGATAACACGAAAGGGTTATTTCTCAGTGGGGAAAAAATGGCCATCAGGAGCACATAGAAAGGCAGCCTTGTTATATATGGCTGGTGTTGAGGCAATGTCGGAATGCAAGTGGAATTTAGAAGGCAGCCAGGGCCTGCTTCTGTGATTCTGACCTCGCAGAAGTGATGGGGATGTAGCTCTCACTGACTCAGAAACTTCCGGGTAAAATAAGAAGGGGGTTCCTACTTCCCTTCAGACTGGCTACGTGTTGTGGATTGAGTGTGAAATGGCTCCCACAGGCTCATGCGTTTGAACGTTTGATCTCTAGCTGGTGGCACGGTTTGGGAAAGTTAAGGGACCTTCAGAAGGTGGAGCCTGGTGGAAGGAAGGACATCACCGGGAGGAGGAGAGTAAGACGTGGAATTGCATAGCCTGGCCCCACTTTCTATTTCCAGTCTTCTTCAGGGTGGCTGATGGAATATGTTGGGCCAGCCTCACACTCCATGCTCTTCCCATCCTGATTGGCTGTATTCCTCTGGAACTGTAAGTGAAAACAAACCCTTTCTCCTTACCTTGCTTTGGTCATGGTATTGCATCGAGGCAACAGAAATGAAATAGAAGATACGACATCACAAGACGTGATTAACCCAGTCAGATTACGGGGAAGAGAGATGTGTGGACAAACGGCTTCTGAGAAGCCTCTGGAGCTGACCTTGCAGGATGAAGAGATTCCCATAACGTCGAGGAGTGGCACAGGGTGGTAAAAGTACAAAATCGGTGCTTACTTCACAGAAAAAGATGTTGAGTTCTCCCTAAACTGCACGCCACCAACATGTATGGTGCTAAGTCGAGTCCTGAAACGTGGCCATCTTCAGTAAGACTTCCTTTTATCTGTCCAAGTTCTGGCCATTTTAAAGATGCTCGCCAGTTTTCTGCATGTTTGTATTAACTATTTTCTGTCCTGTTGTGCAGTCTTACCTGTCCATGGAAACAGTACAAAGACTGTTCCCGACCATTCCCAGGTTCCAGTTCCCAGAGTTACAGCCTCTCCGCCAGCTAAATAAGGGTCTCAGTAGAGAGGATTGGTTTAATTTAAGTCACAGAGTGTTAGAAGGTCTCCTCCCCCACTGCAATTACAAGAATTATATTTAATATGTGTGTAACCGATATTCACATCTTGTTGGGAAAACAATTCCCTCTGCATGGTATAAAAAATGACTGCAAATATTTTATTATGCCGGCTATTTATCCTTCCTCAAGTCCCTGTAGTATCCCGTTCCTCAAAAATAATCCTGCTTATCACTAAATATTCTTTACTTATTGGATTCTCAGCCACTTGATACAACTTCTGATTATGTTTGACTTTGTGTCTAAGCGGGCTTAGGTGCAATCATAAATCCCGAATCCTTTTAGACGATAGAATTTTCAAGACCGTTGTCAGAGATCCAGTTAGTGGAGCATCTGGAGATGTCACTGCACAAAAAGGTCTGGACAACAAATGCAGTTACGTGTGAGAGACTGGATCTAGACCTAACCGCACAACAGTGACCTAATATCTTTTTATACTAAGGTAATGTTTGGATGAAATAAATAGGACACTATCATGTTTACCAAGGCTAATCTCCTGGATGTATCAGTTTTCTTTTTACTCATGCAACGTGATGGTTACCTTTAACTGTCCATTTGGCACAACCTGGAATCACCTGGGAAGACAGTTTCAATTAGGGGTTGTCTACACTAAGTAGGCTTATGAGCTTGCCTGTTAGTGATTGGCTTGGTTGATTTAATTTATTTGAGAAGACGTAGCCTACTGTGGGTGGCACTATTCCCTAGGGCAGGAGGTGCTGAACTGGGTAAACGTAGCGAAACCAAACTGAGCCCAAGGAAGGAAGCAAGTGTGAACACACTCATTTCTCTTTCTTCTCATGGATACCAGTGACCAGTTATCTCAAGATCTCAGTGCAATGATTTCCCCAAAGGGATGATCAACAGCCTGGCATTGTGAGCTAAGTCAACCTCATCTCCCTAATTCGGACTGGTTCTATTCTGGGTGCTAATGTGTCTGCCCTAAAGAGAAAGTCCAAGAAATAAGCATGACCCCATTGTGCCTAGAGAAGTGGGGGTCCTCAGTGAGACACTATGATTTTATTGTTCAAGGGGACACACTCAACCAGCAGACTTTTTCCCCCTTCCCTTTCTTCCTGCCCGAGTTACGTATGTGCAGCTGCTTTGGACTGCTAGACAACATGCACAAGGCTGTATGAAGAAAGATGGGAAAATGGAGAGGGCCGATGGCGCTGGGTTTTCTGGGCCAACGTAGAGAGGATTCCCAGTGGATTTACTGCTGTAAGAAATGGAGTGAATTTTACTTATTTAATCCACTATTTACTAAGTACTGTGCTACACAGAGACAAATCTATTCATCCCTGACAAATTCTTGACATTTCTCACATGAAAATTTGTGCTCCGACCACTTAGTGTTCCAGTACTGAGAAGCTGTAGCTCTTAGTTTACTAGAGCTGCTTCCTTTTCTATATCCATGTTCTTGGTGTTTTCTTGGATCAAATAAGAGCTTCTCTAACTGGAACTCTGTTCTGACTACCTCACAGAGTATTGCAGTCTGAGATATGGAAAAAAAGAAAATTCTGGAGAAGCCTCTCTCAATGAGTTGTTTGGCCAGGTTTGCTAATGCAGGGTAAGACAAATCCCTCTCCTGTGAGTCAAGTTTATTTTTTATAAGCTTTCTGATACAGTTCCTGAAAACATATTCGAAAAGAAACAAGGGCTTTCCCAGACGGGGAGCTTCAGTACTCTGCCTGAGTTAAGACCTCAAGGCATTTGCTCTCCCTCGTTAACTGACATCAGGAGTAAAGTATTGCAATCAGGGCATGCTGAAACTCTCAGCACTCGGGAGGTGGAGACAGGAGGATCCTGATTTCAAGATCAGCCCAAGCTATACGGATTATGTCTCAAAGCATCAGCAACGCTTGCTAGATAACCCTGGCCAACTCTCTCTGGTACTAAGAAATCCCACCAAGCTAGAGATCTGAAGAAGAAACATGCTTACCATGTCTTATTGAGTGAGTGGGAAAATAATAATTTAGTACACTCGTTTTCTTAAAGATTGATTTTTATTTTTGTGTGTGTATGTATGTCTCTGTGTGTATGTATGTCTGTGTGATAGTGTATGTTAATGTGAGTGCAGGTGCCCTTAGAGGCCAGAAGAGGGCATCAGATCCTCTGCAGTTGAAGTTATAGGCAGTTGTGAATTTCCCTCCCTGAAAGCTTTTGCTTCGGCAAAAGCAGCAAGTTCTCAACTCCTGAGCTGTTTCTGAAGCCCCTGACCCTAGTTTTCATAGTGGATAAAAAAAGCAGTTATGATTTAGCTGTTCTTGCCTTGAGGTCAAGTTTCCTTTTCCTGATGCTTTGATGTTTGCCAGTAGTGACACCTCTTTATAGTTTGCTGCTGCGGATGTGGGATGCCCTTCTGAATGCTGCAAATATGGGTTGCTTCTATTGGCTAATGGATAAAACTGCTTTGGTCTATGGCAGGACAGAATATCACTAGGCAGGAAAGCCAAACTGAATACAGGGAGAAAAGAAGGCGGAGTCGAGGAGTTGCCAGCAGCTACTAGGGAAACAAGATGTGAGGTAATAAGCCACGAGCCTCGTGGTGAAATATATAATGATAAAAGTGGGTTAACTTAAGTTGCAACAGCAAGTTACTAAGAAGCCTTAGCTAATATGCCAAACAGTTTTTAATTAATATTAAGCCTCAGAGTGGTTATTTGGGAACTGGTAGGTGGGAGAGAAACTTCCAATTACATGCTACTTCTAACCTGAGACTGGAAGACAACTGTATTTTTTTTAACTGTATTTTTTTTAATTGTGAGTAAAATATAATATAATAAGCTTTGGTCAAGGGCCCCGGCTTGGTGGCAGTACAAGATCAAGGAAGATAAACCAAACTGGGAATATTAAACCAGCTAAGTGTACGGCTCAGTGTTGCTCCTGTATCTGGGCTAATTTTTGTGTCTCATAGAACCTGTAGTTTTTTGGGGTTCTGAATGAAAGGTACTCAGCCCTGAAGCTTCACCCAGGAAGTACTAATTTTGGCTATATGTTTCCTCCCGCCAAATGGATAAAAGGAAGCCAGCATGGTCCCTGCCCACAAATCCATGAAGCAGTTCAGTTCATATTTTCATATTAATAAAATGGAGAGAAAGTAAATTTTCTCCAGGACAGAAAAAAAAAGTCAAGCAAGAATATAGTTTATTTGTATACTAGCCCGCTAGAACACACCCAAGTAAAAAAAAAAAAAACACTCAAATCATATTAGCTCCAACTTTCCCAAGTGAAGAGCTGATCGGTGAAGAATATTTGAACAAGCCAGCGTATGCTGGGTCATAAGAAGTCAGTAACAACGCAGATGAGCTGGCTAGGACACTGAACGAAATAAGTTAGAGCACAGAGACATGCATGAATCCCACGGGGTTTCGGTCACGTGACATCAGAGATACCACTGTATAGATGTAGACATAAGACTGTTAGTTTCTGGAAGCCTGGCAGGGTGGGTAAAGAGAATCTGGTTTGGGGGTCTACATTTACAGCTAGATGGGAGAAATAGGTTTTAGAGTTTTATGTAGTATAGTAGTGACTGTAGTTAACATCTTCTGTATATTTCAAAATAGCTAGAAACAGAATTTTGGACATTCTCAATGCAGAGAAGAGGTAAAGTATTTAAGGTAATGGTCATACTATGACCACTACATGCTGTGTTCATGTATGGAAAAATTATCTTACAAATCTATTATGATAATAGGCTAATTAATATTTTTAAAAGGATGGCCCCTATGTAATGTCTAAAATTGATGAAACAAGAGATCATGTACTACTTAAATTATGTCAGGTTTTAGGGTGAGTTACAAAAAAAAAAAAAAGAATTCCATCAGAGATGAACTGGTTATGTCTGGGTGGGTGGAAGGCGGGGCAGAAACTGTGCTTTTTAGAGCTAAGCATTTTAGGCCGTTTGACTTTTGAGCTTTGATAAACTCACAAGCCAAAAGCATTAATTTAAAATTATGTTTTGGACAGAACAAAAAGGGGGATTGAAGAGGGAGAGATCAAGAGGGAGCGGTTCCTGGGGGGGCAGCAGTTGACAAAGCGAATTACAGAATATACTCAGTGAGACTCAGATGAAACACGGGAGATAAAAGGCTGCAGACCGAGGGGTCCCAGCGAGGCATTCAGAGGAGACCCGTTGCAACCAGGATGTCCGCACACTCACAGCTGCTTCCGGGCCCCCGTGCTCCCCTATAACAAAGCAGCTTCTGTCTGGAGAAACCACAAGAGCAAGGCAAGCGGTAGAAAGCCTTTAATTGGGGTGGAGAACTAGTGGCCCTGTGAACTCTAGATGCCTCCAACAGGCTGGGGCACGCTTTGCCCTTCCTGCCTTCTTGGCCACCAGCTGATGACCGTGTTCTCCAGGGCTCTCAACAGCCATTGTTGGCTGCTTGCTTCTTCCCCTGCTCCAACTCTGGGACCATCCTTCCTCCTTTCTCGGCTCCATCCCGAGCTCCCGATGGCCCAGTTTTCCATGCTCCCAACCATCCTCATCTCTTGCCTGACAGGGTGTTTCTAGCTGGCTGCTGGGTTCTGTGACCTCAGAACCAGTATAGTGACTAATTGACTAATTAACAACCCAATAATTAAATTGGTGGTAACTTGACAGTCAAACACACAAACCCTCCAGTGAAAACCTTCCTTTAATAGTGGCAGTCAGGAGTTGGTAGGATCGTTTATCCCGGCAGTCACTCCTGGGAGGGATGGACCTCATGAGGTATTCCCTTTGGTTTCCTGAATATTCTTCTCTATAAAAACTACACATGCATAAGCCTTAGTTCACAATCTTGGTATGGATCTGACCCCGCGTTTAGCTCATCTTCCCAGCATGTGAGTGTCCAGTCTCTTCTGAGGTATTTGTGTTTCTTTATAGGTTACGTTTTTTTAAAGGTCACATGTGTTCTTTGTACTTCCTGACTGGCCTGGGACCTCCTGAGGGATGACGTCGTATTTCCAAACCATTTCTTCACAGAGGCAACCTTTTTTGGCTAAGAAAT